ATGTTGATTGTGAGATATATTATTACTTCCTTATTTTCCTTTTATCTGTCTAAATTCGATCAGCCTATCGGGCTCATTCCTCATTCCTGCTGCCAATTTCAATCTGCCTATTGTTCCTGTTGTTGACCTGCAGGTTGAGCATTGTACAAATAAAAATTTACTGCAATTTTACCTCTTTCTCATGTTGATTGTGAGATATATTATTACTTCCTTTTTTTCCTTTTATCTGTCTAAATTCGATCAGCCTATTGCTCACATTAATGCTGCCGAAATCAATATGCTGCCTCCTCCTGAAATTGATGCTGTTGATGACCAGCAGGTTGAGAGTTGTAATATATTTTACCTCTTTCTAATGTTAAATATGAGCTATTATTACTTCCTTTTTTTTTCCTTTTATCTGTCTAAATGTGATTAGCCTATTGGGCTCATTCATGCTGCTGATTTCTATCTGCCTCCTCCTGATATTGTTGCTGTTGATGCCCAGGATGAAGCTGAAAAGAATCCGCCTGCTCTGGGAGCTCCCACTAGCTGCATCGTCTAGATGTGTGCCTTATTCCCACTTTCACTTAGTGTTTTGTCCAAGACAATGGTTTCAGGAAAAGATTGTGTTTTAAGACCCTATATTGTTGCATAGTTTTATTTTTTGTATGCCCCTATTGCACTAATTCGTCTATGGGTTTTTTCAGGCGCTTGTTCAATCGATTTTGTTGTTAAAAGTTAAAAAAAAGAGAGATAAAAGTAGTTTTTTAGGTATTCTAAAACAAGAGAGCGAAACAACTAAATAGTGACTTAAAATTACATTCAAACTCCAAACACGCAAAAACCAATAATCCTTTCCTTGGTATATAAACTAATATTTTAACCCGTGCAATGCACGAGTTTGGATGAATTTTTTGACACTTCTGTAAATTAACTTCAATGCAATATTTTAAATTGAATTTAAATATATTTAATATGTTTTTTATTACTAGACATTAAAAACAAAATAAAATAAATAATTTAGTAAATTAAATATTTTCTATCAAAATTCTTATATACAAATTCAAAAGCGAACATCTCAAAGATTTTCTAAATCTCTATTTTTGAAAGACTTTTGGGTATACAACAATTTTGGTGTAGTTGCAAGGATTTTCGTTATCATCTAGAATTTATATTCTTAACTAGTATTAAACCCGTGCTACGCACGGGGTCGAACGCATGTTATTTTTAAATTTGCTAATTTTTTATTTTAAGTAAATAATTATAAAATAAAAGTAGATATAATATAGAATTTTAGATACAACAATACAAACTGAAAGTTGAGTATATTCTTTGTATATGAAAGCAACTTAAACATTGATTCAAAAAAGCCCACAATAAGTTACTACAAACTAAACCTTGATATGAAAATATTTTCTGATTAAATTTACTTTTTTCAAATTATTTCTCTTTGTAAGTGCAAGCATGTCAATATCCCGAAAACAGATCAAAATAAAATTAAAAACTAAAAAAAAACATACACTTTAGAAAAATTGGTCTCAACACCATTTAATAAATAGAATAATCCTTTGTTCTCTCATACCTTGTCAATAGACTTTCCATTCAGTGTGTACTCATTCCTACCATGAAGGCAAAACAAACAAATCATTACATTTTTTTAATAAACAAAACACAGAATCGCATGGGGGATAAAAAAATCCTAAGCTTAAGAGTGAGATTTATCACCTTGGAAGACTTTAAAGCTTAAAGAAATTAAAGTTGTGTGAGAACCTGACCCACCTTCAAGCTTTGATATATCCAGGCTTGTTTATGGCATTTGTTGGGTGAAATAGTATAACCTCACCAGTCACCACTATTGATTGAAGCATGCCTATTAGAGAAACGAAGCAGCGTGAAATGTCACCTAGACTCTCCTTCTCATTGAGGTAATTTGTCTAACACATATTGAGCATTGCTTAAGTAATCTAGATTGCAAAACAACTCCATTTTTGAAGTAAAAAAATCAGATTTACGGTTAAGTAAGTCTATAAAATGAAAGATAAAAAAGAAAAAGACCTGTAGGTACTGATTTTGCAGGGCCAAAAAAATTGAAAATAAAAGCACAATTGGCTAAGAAAATTAATCAAAGAGCATTTGGTCACCCATACGAATTAAGCAAAAGAAAAATGGAAGAATTTCAAATTAAGAATGGATTGAGAAACGCGGATGAATGACAATTAAATATGAATTTTTTTAAATAAAAGAATTTTTCGGAATAAATTAGGGTAAAATTGGGGTAGCCGAAGAAGAGAATGGAAAGTCGAATCGGTACCTGGGTTTTCTTTCCTTCAGTGAAAATCCAAGGCATCGAGGAATCAGGGCTGAATCAAATTAGTTTCCTTGCGTGAAGATCCAATTATTTTTAGTTTCCTTCGGGGAAGAATGCGAAGAAGAAGGTCGAAAGAACGATACTGCCTGCCTGCCTGGGAAGAACTTCCGCTAATAATTGGGCGCGTGTCATCCGAGGTGTAAGCAAATTAGGAGCCTTTCACTTGCCACGTGTCATCATTCTAGGCTATCAACTCTGGAATATTATATTAAAGGATTCTGCCTTTCTTTTTACTCGTGAAACAGCACCACAAAGTTGACTATAAGTGAACACTGAATTGATTTAAAATAGTCCAACAAATGATAATGTTTGACTTTGACTTTGTTAAAAGTCGTAGCAAAACATAAAATATTGGAAATTGTCTTTTCCAGAACTTTTAGAGCAATCGTGTATCAGATGGTACGAAATGCATTCTAGTTATATAAACCTTTTTCTCGACTCGTTTTTTCGAAACCACAGTTGTACCGAAAACATTATTTTGTAACTTTTTAACAATTGCACCGAAAAACATTAATTGGTGGCCCTTTTTTCAAAACTAGCATTTGAATTATCTAGTTTGATAAAGAAATTGAACGATGGCATTTGAATTGGTGGCCCTTTTTTCATACATTCCCTACTCTTAAAAAAAGACCAATTCCTAATAGCATTTGAATTATCTTTCTCTATGTATATATATACGGGGTAATTCATACAGGTGCTCTTCGTCAATCCCTGTATAACTTTGATAAAGAAATTGAACGATGGCGGCTTCTTTCGGATACGAACGGAACGGATCAATCAGACCCCTTTATGAAGCCGAATGCTATATCGTCCTGAACAAAAACCTAAATTCATCGTTGAGAGCAGCAGCCTCCATCGCCACCGCATCCCCCATCGCCGACCCAGCAACAGCAACCCTCATCGCTGCCGCCGCAGCAGCTCCTCCAGGTACGTCCTCTTCAGCACCAGTTGTGTTCAGAGTCCAGTGCGTCCTGAGATTAAGCGTGGCAGGAAATCCTGTGAATGAGTTTCTGGAGGAGAAGGATTGGCGGGAGACAAGGCAATCATCCCTTGAGCTTCCTTGGTCTAGAGACGGATTAATAATAGATGATATTAGTCTAGAATTAAAATTATCTGAAACCCTTACCGCCCTTAGGGTTTCCAAAGACACTCATCAGTATATTATGGACAAACTCCGCTTCGGGGCTGCTGCCATCTCACATCTGCTAAACTCAGCTCCAAAGTTTGTGGTGCATATATTAGAGGTGACTCACATCACACTCCCGCTAATCGACGAAGAAGGTCAAGCAATCTACCCAGAGCACATACCTTACAATGATGAAGTGTATACCGATGTCGATTATCATATTCAAACAGAAAAACATGAAATTCATCAGGCAAATTTTGTTGATTCTGTCAAGAAATTAATTGTGGGCACACGAGACGTTAATGAAAAGGACGACGAGGCTTTAATACAAGATTGGTTCTTGAAATTAACTAATGCTATTTATAGAGTTGCTTGGCAGGTAACTGAGGAAGAGGATGCAAAGGAGGAAGAGGAAGAAAAGGAGGCAAAGAAGGAAGAGGAAGAAAAGGTGGCAAAGGAGGAAGAGGAAGAAAAGGAGGCAAAGGAGGAAGAGGGAATAGAGGAAGAAGAAGAAAAGGGGGCAAAGGAGGAAGAGGAAGAAAAAGAGGCAAACGGGGAAGGTGAAAAAAAGGAGGCAAATGAGGAAGAGGAGTGGACCTGCCCCATCTGCTTGGGAATAATCGAATCACACGAGGCATGGAGTGAGATGCCTTGCTGCTCTCAAGCTTTCCATTGTGATTGCATCTCGCCGTGGATCAAACGTCTCCATAAGTGCCCCTGGTGTCGTTCCTCCTTGCCTCTTGTGCTTCAATCGGCAAGGGGCCTTATTGAGCGTCACAATTCAGAATATATTTTGTATCCGAGTCCTCCTGGGATTCATGATCAATTAGTGGTATTATGGCATCTTTTGTCTGAAAAAGCTTGGTGGACCAACCAGGTAGTACATGAGGCTGGTTGCATGTGTGGTTGTCACTCTAACAAATTTGAAGTGATACGAGCTTAGCAATTAGCATCAGTTTGATTCATGAAATTGGAGGCTACTATGTAGCTTGTTAAAAAGGATAAGAAACAGATCAAATATTATTTGCTTTATCTCTTGAAAGGGATAGCTTCTTTGCCATGAATATGACACTGCTTAAATCACAAATCTTCATGCATGTTAGTGATGTTACATATGTGTGTATTGTATGTAGGTTTGGTACTACTCCCTCCGTCCTAATTTATAGTGCTTGTTTCGGTTTACGATGTTTAACTGAAATTATTTTCAAATTATTTTATATGACAAATAGTATATAGTTAAAAAATAAAAATTACATATTAAAATACAACATCAAAAGATCTACAAAACTAGTAGTGACAATAGTACTTTATTTTATCAAATTACTAACGAAAATAGAGAAAAAAAAAGTGAATAAAATTTGACCATGTGAATAGTAAATAAGCACTATTTATTGCGATGGAGGAAGTATAATCTTAGCAAACTTGTAATTAGTAGGGGCTTCTCTGTTCAATTTAATTTATTATGGCTTTACTTTAGCAAAGCCATACTTATCAAGGCGTTGCCTACGCATTTGGGCGAGGTGATATAGACGCTTGACCTCACGCCTAGCTTTTTTTTTAACATGGGCGACCTTGGCGTCCTTTACGCGTCTAGAAGGCTGCGTTTTGGCGACTGGGCGACGCCCAGAGTTATATTTAAAAAAATTATTAGTCCACTTTCATAAACAATTACCCCTAACCGATCAACATACCTTCGAGTCTCTCCTCTACTGCTCCACTTGGGATAACACAATTAAACCCCCTCTCTCTCGTCTTCTTTTCCAAGGATAAAATGTAAATTATTAATATCCGAGAGTCAATACAAAATACATCCACGAAGTAAACATACAATGCACCGGGGCATACCCCTATAAAATCAAAGAAATAGTGGCACACACGCCAAAGGCACGCACGCCCAATCAACAAGACATGAATAAACAAGTACAAGCACCAGGGGAATAAATGTACATCACAAAGAAACATGATCATCACCATCACCAAGGCCCATCCTCGTCTTCATGCATTGTCATCCTCAAAGGAACATCAAAAGGTAGGTCCGTCATTATCAAACTCCGAAAGTAAGCACCACCGGGTTGAGAGCTCAAGGACTGTCCTCATCAACATGCGTTAATCCCAAAAATATCCTCCGAAGGTATGGAATCCATCATCATTGGAACAATCAAGCTTTCGTGGTCATGAGAGCTTTGCTAATCCTCAAGACACCAAAACCGAAGGGTCACAAGCGTTAATGCCTGCCACTGCATCAGCATATCCCTCAGCATTGCTAGGATCTTCAAGTTCACCCCCAATTTTGAAATATCGTACCCATAATCCAAGGAGCCACCATTTCCAAACGCCAGAGGAAGCCTCAGCCCTACAAGGACGGCGTGACATTTGGTACTAGTATCCCACAATAGATCGGGTATGAGATCACAAAGGTCATGCCAAAAACTTGGCCAAAAAAGAAAGAGAAGGGCAAAGAAGAGAAGGTGGAAGCAGCCATTCATATGTCCTCCTCCACCCCAAAAGGTCACAAGGTAACCCGGGTGGTGAAGTCATGAAGCCACAACCACAGATGCGCCATATGAAAACTGCCTCTGCCCCAGCCCAAACCAGCTGCTTATATGGTTAAAACATACTTCAATCACCAGGGGGTTACATCGAATCCTTCCCTTTTTGTGGTGTTGAAACATTGGAGCCCAAGGCTCAACAATGGTTTCCCATTAAAGTGGCTGTTAGCACAAGGTAAAGCAGTTACTAAGGCACAGTCAGAAAGCCAACCAAGCAGCCGCACACCCAGCAAAACCACCACAGGGTGGTGAATCTGCACCACCGAAAAGTGCAGCCTGCTCCCTTCCAAACACGGCCAATTCATGGCTCACAAAGGGGCCAAGAAGATGGATCCTTAGGCAGCCACAAACCAGCAACACAGCGGCCTTTCCCCACCCAGAGACAACCTCGATTAACCCATGATTCAGCATTACAAACACCAAGTAGAAAGGCTGCCCAAGAACTGCCTTATACACCAAGTATGAATGCCAACCAGAGATTTGAGTGGCCTGGGCAGTGGTAGGCCAAAACGAGGCAGAAGAAAATCATCCAGTGCAAAAGGAAGAAGGTTGGCCTGCCAGCAACCAATGCATACCATCCCCATCCCTCAAGTACATGAGTTCAGCTAGCAAACATCAAACCCCCTTCCCCCCAGGAGGGGCTGTTGTTTGGAGATGGCAGCCCGAAAATCAGAGATTTCCACACCCAATAATGGTACAGCCCTAATTCAAATACATTTCACCTTACAACAAGCCAAGAAACAGACCCAAAAGCCAATCAAACCACACAGGCAGCAACCTCTGGACAGTCCCAAATGAAGAAGGTAAAACAATACATTGAATGAAGGTTATAGCCAAAATGCACTAGAGAGTCAGCCCATATTCAAATTAGAAACAACCTCAAACAGCAAAGCAAACCAGGCCAAGCAGCAGCCCAAACCAGTAGCAAAGCAGCAGGCAGTATCCAAGAACATGAACAGTGATTCGAGCACCAAAAATCAAGAAGATTAAAACATGTTATGTGAATCCAAAACCCAGCAATAGACATTGAAAGGGCCCTGAAAACCGAGCTCAAAGCCAAAAAATTGGAAGCAAAAGACCCCAGCAACATGGTGAAACCTGGGTTTCAATTTCGGACTGTGAACAGTGCCAAAGAATCCAAAAAATGCTCAAATCGAAAGGGATTTCAGTTGGAATGGAATTCCAACTTCAGACCTTGATTAAGCATCCGAAGCCGCTCCTAAACCCCAAAAATTAGCCATCAATCGAGCTGGAAACGAGGCCAAATGAAGAATTTGTGTTCGTCGATGAACAGTAACTCCGCAATTTTGACCTGCGATTTTGCCATTTTCCAGCAGCGAAATCACCCAACCAAGCCTAGGAAGTGATTGCTCGGCTTCAAACGATTCAAGAGCTCAAAGAATCATGTCAAAAACATCAAAAAATGGGCTGGAATCGGAAATCTCAAAAGGCTCTCGTCTTCTTTTCCGATTCTATGCATCAAGGTCGCCGCTGACTTTCCTCAACTTTCTTCAATGTTCGATGCATCAAGAGCATCGCTAGAAAGGAACGATCCGCACTAGGCAGTCAATAGGTCTTAATCTATTTCTCTGATTTACCCCAATGAACACCATATATATATTAAAAATGTTTGAACCACCGCTCGAACCACTGGTTCGACCAGTAAACTAGTGAATCAGTGCCTTGACCGGTTCGATCACCGGTTCGGTTCTGAAAACTATGCAATGAACACATTAAAAATGGTAATCTTTTAAATTGGGGAAGAAACAAAGATCGTGGCTGAAAAATAAGAATTGATCAACATTTAGTGGTGCTAGTCGTGAGAGAGATGATGTTAAAAAGAAAATGACTAAAAAGACCCTTGACCAAAAGATTTAGAACTCTTTCTCACGTAATAATATCAGCATAATCGAACAGTTCTGGTATATTCTTATTTCTTTCATTAGATTTCATTCTTATTTGAACCAAACTATATATATATTCTCATTTATATTTATCTTAATTCTTTATTCTTGCAATGACTCTAAGCCAAACATTCATACAAATGAATTGAAGGAAGATCGAATTGTATAAATTGCAGTCATACACTAAAAATATTAATAGGTATTTAACTGAAAAGATGAAAAATTCACTTATTTCTTAACATAAACCCATAAACTTGAAATAGAAAATTACTATTTCATACAAAATTAAAAAAAATGAAAAAGATGGGCCTGGCAAAGTCTTGTCCTTTTTTCCTCTTTATGTTTCATGTACTTGTGCAGTACATTATAGTTTGTTATGAGCTCTGCAACACACCCAACATTATCATGTGCCAAGTCAAAGCTAAGAATTCATAAGATTTGTGTTCCAAGAATCACAAACTGAAACAATCTATATAAGAAAAAGAAGAAAGAAGAGAAGAAGCAGACCCTTTACCAGCAAAACTCTTTTATAAACAAGTTATTGACATGAAGGCAGAACAGATTCTTGAAATGGAACAGTGCTACAACCCCAACAACAATGAGAACAATGGAAGAAATTCCCATTATACCCCTCAATGGGAATTCCCATACCCCCAAGCACCAGATCTTCATGGCATCTCCCATTTGATCCCAAACCCTTTCGTTCCCTTTTCTAACGCCTACCCGGAACCGTCCGGTTTTTTCCCCAACTCATTAGGGGGTCTCCTTGGAGATGCCATATCCCAAGATTCAAGTGCCACAGACTCTTTCCACTCTGTGCCTCAGAGGGGCTATGGCTTTATGGGGCCCTAAAGTATCAGCTCTCTCTTTGGTGAGAAAGATGAGGAGCTAATAAACTAAGGTGCTTTTCACCAGAGTGTGGTTGGGAGTGATTATGGGAGCAATGTGGGCTTTGAGTTAAATACGGAGTAATGCTTTCATGGAAGATTTTGGCAAAAGCAGAGGTGATAAGGATGATGCACATTTTGCCTTGGACAAGCCAAGGAGAGTCCAATTCAAAGACAAATTTCAAGCTTTGAGGAAGTTGATTCCAAATCCCACAAAGGTAATGTAATAATGTACTTATGCCCCATTATTAGGGTGAGCTTAAGTATCTTTGGTCCTATACTCCATATGTCCTATAAAAGAAAGAGTCATAGTGTCAAAAAGAAGTCTTTTTTTAACAAAAGAAGCTAGATTTCATCATGTTTAATGTTCCTTTTTTTAAAAAAAGAAAATGACCCGATCAACCCCAATCAAATAATTTTCAAATATATACCACTTTGTTGGGAAAGCATAGACAAATGAAGCGGAAGTGGAAACGGCCGACAAGGGTCAACACAATGCACAAAAAAACAGCATATATAAATAGAGAACACGTGATTTACATGGAAATTCCGAATCGTGAAGCAAATCACGGAACCGTTCAATAATAGTATCAAAACTTCCACTAATCATCAAGAATCAAGTGGGTTAAGTTTTCCTATCTAGTAAATGCAAACACAATCATCAAGGAACAATCTTCGCAAAACAACAATAAAAAAAACTTCACCAAAAACACAGCTTTTACTCTTCTTCTTTTTTTTATGGGAGCATAGAGAGATTTAGTTTATGTGAGTGTTAAAAATGACTCATGTAAAATTGACTATTGTATTAGTACCAAAATTCCCTTCAAAGGTAGGGTTATGTTGCAAAAAATTCTAATTTTTCTGCTTGACATTCACATTTATATACAAATCAAGAATGATAGAGCATCAACAGTTGGGGATGCCATTGACTACATAAATGGGGATGCCATTGACTACATAAATGAGCTTAGGAGGGAAGTGACAAAACTTGAGGGTCTCATAGAGAAGAAGAAGAAGAGACAGAACAATGGAAGTTCAATGAAGGAAAGGTTCTGGTTCAAGAAAAGGTCTAATGGCACAGAGGTGGACGTACGTGTGATGGATGACGAAGACAAAGAAGTCACTGTTAAGATTGTGCAGCGGAAGGGGAGCGAGAACAACAGCTGTAAGTCTCAAGAGTTCTAGATGAGCTGCAGCTTGGCCTTTGCCATGTAGGAGGAGGGCTCATTGGTGATTGATACACATTTCTCCTCAATTATAAGAATATAAGGTTGTTTTTCATTCACTCACATGCTTCATTTTGATTCTCCCATATACTCTCTCCCCGTCGCATAGAAAGATTCCACGTTTCCTTTTTTGCCAGTCTAAAAAGATTCCACTTTTGGAAAGACTTTGTGGCGCATATAATTTCTCTCTCCTCTACACTACTTTCAATCGTATATTTGTGTTTTTTCTTAACTTCTGCGTCAAGTCAAATGTGGAAGCATTTAACGGGACAAAGGAAGTATTAGTGCGGCATACACTCGCAAGAAATGCCTGTATCGCATAGACATTTTGTGCCCGTGTGTGAGTGCAAAACATGGTGTACAAGTAGTGCACAGTGTGTTGGTGTGCAAGTAACATTTTTGATCGACTAACATGGAGGAACCCATTAATAAGTATGAGGCAAACCTCACCTCTTGAGAGCTCTTTTGGGATGAGTCAAGCCTAACACTTGTTCTTAACATTAAAGAGAGTAGAATGTTTTTTTT